GTTGTTCAACCTCTTCAAGCTCCTGTTTGCGAATTTGAACAGGAGCTAATCTTTTCCCTGTTTCATCTGGGCATTCTCATAGTTATCTTCTGAATCTTCCTCTAATGTAACGTGGTTGGCGCGGACAGGCGCTGATCCATCCTTCAAACAAGGAGGTGCTGATCTTTCTCTCGAGTATGGAGGCACATAGGTCGATTGGCAGTTGGAAGCAATGTGTCCCAATCAATTACAATTGATGCATACTCCACATTGACATTGATCAGTGACTTCTTCGGGAGTGATCCCAGGAACTCAGAAGCCTGTTCAAACAGCGGAAACTCTTGCTTATGCATAGGCTTTTGAATCTATTCAGTCCATGGCATCTGCATCATGGTTGTTCTTCAGTGTGGGTGTATGAGTGACTGGGTTATCTGTCAGTGCAGGTGTATAAGTCGCTGAGATGTAATGTCTTCTGCCACTGTTCTGTATACTCTTGAGCTTGATAAGACGGTTGTTCAATGCCCGGAGCTGTGTGCAGAAACCTTCATAAGTTGAGTCTTCATTTATACTTATGAGGGCCTGTAAGAGTTCATAAGTTAATGTCTTCTTGAGCATGCTAATCTTCATTCTATCCTCTCAAGATTGATCACCTGCTTCTAAGATCTTGGTGTCAAAGTCAGGGATGAATGTTGTAAGAGGAATGTTCCTCTGTTGAGTACTCTGTAATCAATCTAATGCTTTCTGTTGCATGGCAGTGTCTTGAAACAGGATATCAAGATGTCTCATGATGTTGTCAGGCATTTGCAACACTGGTTCACATGCTTTCATTCATGGATGAAACTTCTGTTTCACGTGATCTTTCAATTGTCCATTGATATATCAACTTTGATTGATTAATAAACTGATGGAATCTTCATCTACACTCAGTTTCACAAGCATTTCCATCCTCCATGATGAGTAGAGAGTGAGATCAGAAGCATCAAAATATACAGGGACATCTAAGCATTCTTTCAGCACTTTTGTATTCAATTCTGTAGATGTTGGAATTGCATGAATTCCTTGTTGTGATAATCATTGAATCTCTTCATATTGATGTTATTGAGTTGCATGCATGTCTGCTATCTGTTGCTGTTGTAATTTCAACATTGCTCAGAGCCACTGTGGCACTGTGTCTATGCTCATGTTCGAGTTCGAGGGTTTCATATTATCATTAGACATGGTTATATCGATCATCGGATGTGTAATATCTGTGTAATCTGAAGAAGTGTAATCATATTCTTATACATCTGAGTGTCAGGACTCTCAGGTCTTTCACTGACATTCTCTTTGTAAGATCTTACTCTCTTCATAAGATCTTGTTGCAGGGCCAGGGCGACTGATGAGCAAGCTTCTATCTGGGGACTATCTGAGAACTCAGTGTTCACTTATCTGTGTTTTCTCTTTCTTACACATTGTTACACATTCGGATATCTCTTGATGAATAATCATTCATCTGAGTATCAGGACTCTCAGGTCTTTCACTGATGTTCTCTTGTAAGATCTTATTCTCTTCATAAGATCTTGTTGCGGGGCCAGGGTGACTGGCAAGCAAGCTTCTATCTGGGGACTCAGTGTTCATTTAACTGTTTTGACTGTTTCTTACGCGTTGTTATGTGTTCGGATATCTCTTGATGGATAATCATTTCTAATGAGGAGACAATGCTGGATAATTGTTTCCTAATAAGGAGACAATGAGCGTTTTTATAGTGTAAGGGGCCTACGCCGAATAGATCGGTATAATAGGTAGGTCTTATATAACAAAGATAAAAATGCTAGAGAAGAAAAGAAAGAGAAAGTGTAAGAATCGGCAATCAAGGTGGATATTTATATGTGTATGTGGTGATGTACGCGGTGGAGCTTCGGGGCGGAAGAATATATGCGCATTCATAGCAGCCGAGGATCGGTGATCGAGAATGGCTGAGGGTTGGCAATTGAGAATGCCCGAGGTTCAGAGTGGCGATCGAGAATGGCCGAGGATCGGAGTGTATGTGGAATCTGTGGAGTGTAACAGAATAGTCTATATGATTGATCGGGGTGGCGGCTGAGGATCGGCGATCGAGAATGGCCGAGGATCGGAGCGTACGTAGAATCTGTGGAGTGTAACGGAATAGTCTATATGATTGATCGGGCGCAGCCCGCCACAAAAATTCTTTTATTTTTCTCTTTATAAAAGATCAGAATATAATTTTTTGAATAGATCTGCTTAATTCTGCACTCTTTTTTACAGCTGAATCAGTCAATTTATTATTATAAATATTTATATAAGCAGAAACTTAGTATAGATGAATAATCAGCTTTAATATTCTTCTCTTTTGAATTTTTAAAACAGAGTTTAAGATCAGTTCAAGATTTATTTGATTATTATGAATCTGACTATTTCTGAGTCTTTTTAAAGCAGCTTGACTATCAGAGAATATTTATATCTCTTTTAAACAATTTTCTCTTTTATAAGATTTTATTTCAATGAGTTTGAAAGCTTTTACTATTATAAATAGTTCAGTATCAAAGACTTCATATTCAGAGTCTAGATTTCAGAAATATGAGATAAAATTAATATTATCTTCAGTATAAGCAATGTCTATATCTAATCTATTCAAGTTCTCATTTTTTAAGTCATCTGAATAAATTAGAATAGAGTCTTTTATATTAATTGTAGAAATTCTCTTTAAATACTGTTTATATTCTTTCTCTTTTAATAGTTCATTTATTTATAAGTCTATAAGAGATTCAAGCTTTTCTCTTCAGAGAGATAACTTCTCATAATTAACTTTTTCAATATTTAAAGAAGAAAATTGATTTTTAATCAGAGAGTATAGTCTATACAGTTAAGAAGACATTTTCTTTGAAGAATTATTTTCATTTCAATTAAGAAATCTATTTCAATTCAGTTTATTTTTAGAGTTAATTAATAAAAATAAAGAAGAGACTCTTTCTCTGATTATATAATTTAAGCTTATCTTTATAACTCTCAGAGTATAATTTATACAGATCTTTTCAAATCTAATAATAGAAGAAGAAATTGATGCTTCAATTTTCATTACTTTAATAGAAGATAATTTAAATGCTTTCAGAATTCTTCTCAAGACTCTGTTTTACAGACTTTGAAAGAGTTCAGTGAAATTCTCTTGATTATTTGATTAAACTTGAACTTCATAATCAGCTACTGATGTAATACAGGCTATATATAACTATCTCATAGTCTGGAAGAATAGATCTCTCTCTATATTTAATAGTCTGATTATGTTATTCAATAGTCTTTCTGTCTTGACAGTTCTTTATTGAATATAATATTTAAAATTCAACTTGAAGTTTAATCATACTTCTAATTATTTGATATTTACACTGGATTTAATCTCTCTATTTAAAAGAGTTAGAGATAGTTCTTTCTCATTGAATCTAGAAAAGAAATGAATTAACTCAGTTTTATTCATATTAAATTGAATTTAATTAATATCTATTCTAACAAAGATTTTCTTTACAGCTTCTTCAATTACTTTCAAATTCTCTTTAATAGTTTTTAAGCTGTAGACTAGATCAATATCATTCATATAACTCAGAGATTATACTATTCTCATATTTCTATTTTTAAACAGATATACAGTGTATATTATAAATAAAATGAGTGAGATTGAAGATCTCTGTGATACTTCTATTTTTATCTCAGTCTTGTCTTATTTCATTCCATCAAAGAAGAGTTATATACTTCTTTTAGATATAAAACAGTTAACTCATTTTATTAGAGAAAGTGACAGTTTTAATATCTTCAATGTCTGAATTAACTTTGACTTTGAAACATGATCAAACACTTCTTTTATATCAATAAAAACTGCAGTTAAGACCAGACTCTCATGCTTTGCTATTTGAATATCATGAATAACTGAGAGAACAGTGTCAATTGCAGAACACTGTTTTCTATCTCTCATTTATTCACTGAATAAAAGAGAATCATCTATAGAGCTTATAAAAGATAGTTAAGTAGCTATTATCTTTTCTAAAACCTTTCCTAGGCAGTTCAATAGAGATATTACTCTATATGACTTAGGAATTGAAGTTTTTCTATTAGGTTTTGCAAGAATCACTCCAGTGGCTTCTCTCCAGCATTCAGGATGATATCCATTTTTCAAGAGATTGAAAAAGAGCTCAAAATATTCATTCTTTAAGTAGGAACTACGGGCGCTAGCCACCCGCAGGATGCACCTTAAGCTAATTACATTTAACCCCCTATAATTAACCGACCACCGCGTCCGTCCTCTCGGGCCAGCCACTAATTTCCAGGGGCGTTAGTTAGTGGCTGCCACCGCCCACTTGGTACACACCAAGCTTCCGGTTTCTGATCTCGGCCTCATTAGATATTATACAATAGTCTCAGAGTCAGATTAAAGAAGAAGTATGATTTAAATCAATTAAATATGAGGTTCTTATTCTCAACTGAGACAGAACTTAAATACTTAATAGACTTTCTATCAGAAACTCAAGCAGCTACAAGAAAATGACTCAATTCAGAAGTATCTGAATATGAAGAGATGGAAATTGATTAGATATAGTCTGTTAAAACAGCTATACACTATCTTTTAATAATTTTATTTTATTATAGTCTCTCTTTACTGTACTTGTTTCTTTCTATTCTTTTCTATCTATCTATTTAATTTGTCTATCTTTAAGACTATGTTCTCTTTTTCTTTGTCATAATATTTTCAAATGATTTCAAAGTATCAAAAGGTGTTGAAATACTGCAATTTGTAAACAGTTTTTGTATTCTCAGCTGAAATTTTCTGATTTTACATATCTGAAATTGATAAGTGTATAATAGTTGACTCTATAGATATAGGAAAAACTCTGAGAACTAAAGGTTCTCAGGTAGATGTTATAGTCTCTGACTGCATACATCTATAATTGAAGAATAATAATAATAATAATAATTACAATATTACTTCTTCTATTATATAGTCAGAGAAATCAGTCTTAATAACTGTCTTGTCTTACAATCAGAATTAAATGTTATTAGCAGAGAGGCATTAATGAATATCTTCTTCATTTATATAAATGTAGCTTCAGTGTCTGCTGATCATTGAAATACTGAGTCTTTCTTAGTGAGATCTGTAAGTAATTCCATGATATCTGAGAAGTTATGTATAAATCACTGATAGAACTTAGCAAATTCAATGAAACTTCATACATCTTTCACAGTATATAAAGCTTCTCATTTAAGAATGACAGAGATCTTCTGAGAATTCATTTAAATTCTCTTATCAGCTTCTATGATGAAATCTAAGTATTTAATACTCTTAACTTCAAAATTTTACTTGTTAATATCAATTGATAGTTCTGCTTCTCATAGTCATTGTAATACTCTTCACACATACTCTTGATACTCTTTTCTGAATTCATCAGTAAAGATGAGAATGTTATCTAGATAAGCAGATATAAACTTATTAAGAAAATCTCAGAGTGCTCAGTTGATATACTTCTGAAATGTACTGAGAGCATTGATCAGTTCAAAGAGTGTGACTACTTATTCAAAGAGATTATATTATGTTCAGAATACTATAAGTCACTCATCTTCTTCAGTGTAAGAGGCTTACGCTGAATAGATCGGTATTATATTGATAGGTCTTATATAAC